CGACAGCAAGGTTTCCCATCAAAATACAAACCAATCTCCAAACAATTTATTCATTTATTGCAAAGCATAGATAAAAATATTATCAAATCTGTAAGAGAATTTGTACACAATGCGTTCTTACTTAGAAATGAAAAATGTAAGTAATCTTATCCACAAATGATTTCAAACACAAAAAGAAAATTACTGCATCTCCAAAGTACTAGTACATCACGATGTAATAAATAGTGTAATGTAGAAATAGTTTGGCGTACCATCCAGATAGCAGGGGGTAAGCTGTTTAACGGGTAATATCAAAAGGAGAGGTCTGATTACTGACGAGAATAAGGGTATCGATGATAATGGAGATACGAAAGTTAATATCTGTTGAGCAAATTTGTTGCGATAAACTGTAAACTCGATGCGCCATTAAATAATGCATAGAGTGAGAACTTTGGAATCAGTACGACACTCAATTTCAAAAACTGTTTGCAGGTTACGTATAGTAAGAAAAAAACTATAGGCCCCTTTATATCCATGTTCCTCTCCCCAGACAAGTAGGATAAACACACGTATAACCTTGCATCTCTGCAGTAAGATGGTGTAACATTCTTTTCATAGAGTAGGGTAAGGATTTACAAGAGGTTCACAGCATGGTGTCGTGACCTATAGGGTCAACAGACAGCTAGCATCACATAGCTATAAACAAAGACATACAACATGCATGTACTCTTTTCTCTAGTCTACCGAATTCATTCTTACTCAGGTTACATCATCAGAAACATGAGTCGGGTAGCCTGTGACCAAATATGTGGATTGTTAGACAGTGTGATTACGCTTGTTACATGTATGTTGAGTGCTAGACTGATTACACTTGTTACATGTATGTTGAGTGCTAGACTGATTACACTTGTTACATGTATGTTGAGTGCTAGACTGATTACACTTGTTACAGATATGTTGAGTGCTAGACTGTGATTACACTTGTTACATGTATGTGGATTGTTAGACAGTGTGATTACACTTGTTACATGTATGTTGAATGCTAGACTGATTACACCTGTTACAGGTATGTTGAGTGCTAGATTGATTACACTTGTTACAGGTATGTTGAGTGCTAGACTGATTACACTTGTTACATGTATGTGGATTGTTAGACCGTGTGATTACACTTGTTACATGTATGTTGAATGCTAGACTGATTACACCTGTTACAGGTATGTTGAGTGTTGGACTGATTACACTTGTTACATGTATGTGGATTGTTAGACAGTGTGATTACACTTGTTACATGTATGTTGAATGCTAGACTGATTACACCTGTTACAGGTATGTTGAGTGCTAGAATGATTACACTTGTTACATGTATGTGGATTGTTAGACAGTGTGATTACACTTGTTACATGTATGTTGAGTGCTAGACTGATTACACTTGTTACATGTATGTTGAGTGCTAGACTGATTACACTTGTTACATGTATGTTGATTGCTAGACTGATTACACTTGTTACATGTATGTTGAGTGCTAGACTGATTACACTTGTTACAGGTATGTTGAGTGCTAGACAGTGATTACGCTTGTTACATGTATATCGAGTGATAGACTGATTATGCTTGTTACAGGTATGTTGAGTGCTAGACAGTGATTACGCTTGTTACATATATGTTGAGTGCTAGATGGTGTGATTATGCTTGTTACATGAATGTTGAGTGCTAGGCAGTGTGATTACGCTTGTTACATGTATGTTGAGTGCTAGGCAGTGTGACTACGCTTACATGTATGTGAATTGTTAGACAGTGTGATTACGATTGTTACATGTATGTTGAGTACTAGACGTTGTGATTACGCTTGTTACATGCATGTTGAGTGCTAGGCAGTGATTACGCTTGTTACATGTATGTTGAGTGATAGACTGATTACACTTGTTACATGTATGTTGAGTGCTAGACTGATTACACTTGTTACAGGTATGTTGAGTGCTAGACTGATTACACTTGTTACATGTATGTAGAGTGCTAGACAGTGTGATTACGCCTAATTGGTGCATGCAGAGTGCTAGACTGTGATTACGCTTGTTACATGTAAGGTGCTAGACGATGTGATTACGCTTGTTACATGTATGTTGAGTGCTAGACTGTGATTACGTTTGTTACATGTATGTTAAGTGCTAGACTGTGATTACGCTTGTTACATGTATGTTAAGTGCTAGACTGTGATTACGCTTGTTACATGTATGTTGAGTGCAAGACTGTGATTACGCTTGTTACATGTATGTTGAGTGCTAGGCAGTGATTATGCTTGTTACATGTATATCAAGTGATAGACTGATTATGCTTGTTACAGGTATGTTGAGTGCTAGACAGTGATTACGCTTGTTACATATATGTTGAGTGCTAGACTGTGATTATGTCTGTTACATGTATGTTGAGTGCTAGGCAGTGTGATTACGCTTGTTACATGTATGTTGAGTGCTAGACGATGATTACGCTTGTTACATGTATGTAGAGTGCTAGACGGTGCGATTACATCTGTTACGTGTTTGTAGAGTGCTAGACTGTGATTATGTCTGTTACATGTATGTTGAGTGCTAGACGGTGATTACGCTTGTTACATGTATGTCGAGTGCTAGACGGTGCGATTACATCTGTTACGTGTATGTAGAGTGCTAGACTGTGATTATGTCTGATACATGCTTGGAAGTCACATATTCTATATACCTGCATACAATGTCCACAACCTGCAATCCAACAAAATCCTGATCAAATAATATTAAAAATATTCTACTCACCAACTGAGGCAGTTTGAGAGGAGGCAGCGTTTTTTTGATAGAAGCCTTGTCCGTTCTACCTTGCCTATAATTAATATCTGATTTGCGACTCTCGGACTCCAGATCACACCATTGAATGTTGTTTTAGTGGTTGATTCGGATGGCTTGGCAGTGTTAGCTGGCGATGGTGTTGAGAGTTTACTACTGTCATTATCACAATTCACCAAATCCTTCAGCGGAGATATAACCTTGGCCATTTCAGGTGTCATCTGGGCAAACAAGGATGGCCTGGGATATGGAGGGGGAAAACCATCTTCCTTTTTAATTGGGGTAGACTCTTTTGGGGATTTCATGAAAGGTTCAGTGTCTAGTCTATTGCCACTTGAGTGAGAATGTTCAGTTCTGGGAGGGCTAACAGTATGTGAGGACAACAATGACGATGACTTATCATCTTTTCTTTTCGCGCTGTCAGATGAATGTTTGTTATCAATGTGAGCTAGAGTAGTATTGGTCTCGGACGCGGAGGAGATATGATGTGAAGCGTTATGTTTTTTCACCTTGTTCTTGTCTACGGACAACTTCCTCTCACTTGGTCGGTGAGACTTTTTGCGGCTGGCTTTGTGATCTGCCGTTTTGGGCTTGGTTTCTGTTTTCATTTTAACAGAAGTAGCGGCACTACAATGACCAGGCATCATGGCCTTGTCAGTACCATTGTGAGTAACCCCACTTGGAACAGTGAAGATTTCGTCATTACCCTTGCCTACAACAGGTGTCGGAGGTTGTTTAGGGATTCCAAGCAACAGATAATTACTCCGTTCAGTCAACTGGTCCTTCACAGTCTCATAGCTTCCAAGTGTGTTGTGTATCATTTTGCTCATATCATCGATAGGTTTGGCTACCTGTGAATGCAACAAAAATAGACTGAGTACTCATTATTCTCAGACTAACACATGTGATTGTATGCCACAAAGCACAGTCAAACTTTTGCCAACAGCAAATTTTATGGTATATTTTGTGGGAATATATATAAATGGATGCTGAGATTTTGTTGAGAGTGAGAGAGAGTGAGCACTCGTCTTCCCCCTCAAATAGTGGTCCATTCTCTCTCACGTAGTTCCACTGAATACATGACCTACTCAATCATAGTATTTGGAACAGCAGATCTATGCTCTCTCTGTCTCTGTAGTAAATTTAGATTTTTTTTTAATTTATTAAAAATCTCAAGACGAATTATTAAAAATTACATTATGATTTATGTTCTCAATTATCCTATTTGCAGACAGAAAATCTAGAGCGCACCAATGAGATGCGATGATAAGAGATAAGAGAACTCCGTAGTGATGCATCTGGTCAGAGAGCTCCCTTGAATTAATATTTTTGACAAGCAGAATAGAGTATTTTTAATTTGTAGAATTTGATTTTGACAGCTAAAAGTTGACAAGAAGGCATAGTTTCAAACATCCATGCTAGTCTTTAAAACGACTTGCAAACAGATTTACTCAAATCAAAGTGTTAATCCAAACTGTTAGTGACATTACTGTTTTTTTCACGGCATGCAATCATGTGGTAACGCTTGTTTTCATACCAAGTAAAGGGTTGGTTATTTACATTACATGTCCCAAGATGCATTGGTACAATACCAGGCAACGCAAAGCCGTATTTTCAGCCACATGAAAAGACACTCTGCTCAAAAAGCTTCTAAAAATTTCACTGCTTAAAATTCTCTTTGCAAATTTTTTGAAAATTAATTTTTTACAGAAATAAAGTGGTTTGCAGTACATAAAGTAAGAATAAAGTATTTTACAGTACTAGGCAGAATTTGATACATCAAAAAACCTGTCAACAAACAAGCTGCTCTGTGATTGGTCTGACTGTCAGGTGTTTGAATTGGATAGCCAATCAGGCACAATCTTGCATTGACTTCAAATTTGTTCAAACAAACGTACACGTAAGTTGAAGGGTTACTAATATGATGTGTTTTTTTGTCATTATCACTCAGTTAGATGAAAAAAAATTGTCAGGCCAGAGTGACTGGAAATGCTGTGTAGTTATGTCATTTAGACAAGAGTTATTTGGATAAGCCTAAGAAAAAGAAAACTCCACAGACAGCAATACTGAAACACATTACCGTACCTTAACTGGGTTACCAAACAAAGGAGCATTATCAATTGGCTCCTTTTTCATGGTTGTGTGCATTTCATGCCGTCTCATTCGGTCCAACTCCTTCATTCTTTCCCTGTCCTTGTCAGGAGTAGATCTGGAATAACAACAATCACATGTTTAGCAAAAAGCTAATGTACTGACATTGTGCTGAAGGCTGCCCATATCATATCATATGGAGTGATATTTATGTGACATTTCAAGTATGAAACAAACAGCCTGTCGGCTGAGATAGCTCCGCTGTTAGCAATGCAC